TCTCGTCGGTGATCATCTCCAGCAGGTCCTCCGCCTCGTCCTCGATGAGCTCCACGTCCGCATTGCGCGTCACCCGGAAGAAATGCGCGGATGTGATCTACGATGAGGACCCATGGGGTGGGGTGGGGTGGGGTTCCTGCTGCGTGAAATGCTGCTCTGGCATCCTTGTGTGTGCAACACATCACCCATGTCAGAAAGACTTTTCTGAATCGTGTCAGCTTGCGTAAGGAAAAAAGATATCCCACTGGACCAGTCACGTGTTGTTGTTGAGCGTTAACACGCAAAACCTTAGGAGCAGTGCAGTGCATTCTCTTCTCACCTCCATGCCGCCGAACAGCGATCTAAGGTTCGCCTTGATGATCTCTTCTACTGAGATGAACGTGTTGCGCTCCTCGTTGCTGCCCCTGCAGAAGGGAGCACGGCGGCAGAAGGGCAGAAATGGGAAGGGGGGAATGGGCGGATGGATACGGAGGGTTCGCCTTAATGATCTCCTCCACTGAGATGAACGTGTTGCGCTCCTCGTTGCTGCCCCTGCACGTGCGAGTAGGGGGACAGAGGAGAGGAAAGGGGGAAGGGGGAAGAGGGAAGAGGGCGATTAAACATGAGTGCGAGGTTGGCCTTAACATTTCCTCCCCTGAGATGAACGTGTTGCGCTCCTCGTTGCACGCACGCACGCACACACACACACACACACACACACACACACACACACACACACACACACACACACACACACACACACACACACACACACACACACACACACACACACACACACACGCACGCACCGACAGGAGGAGATGAGAATGATATAGCAGGCAGGTATTGAATATTCGCTAACGACTCTTCTTGAGAAGCCTCAAAACTCGTTTCAGGAACACTATACGGGGAAAGCCGCAGCGCTTTGGGCACACGAGTGGGTGCCAGCGGTTGCAGGAGTTAGCTCATTTGGGATTCCAGAGGCACAATTAATGGGCGGGAACGACACAACACAGTAGGCGACACAGCACAGCAAGCAGAGGCACTCACTCTTCATTGGGGCGCACGAGTGGGTGCCAGCGATTGCACGTGTTGGGCACCGACACAATGGCAAACTCGTGGTCGTCGTCCACTGGATCCCTCAGTGCCTGCACGACACAATTTGGATGGGGAGGAGGAGGGGTGAGGGGAGGAGGAGGGTTGAAGCTGGCCTAGAAGTGTGGTACAGAAGAAGGGGGCACGGACACAATGACAAACTCGTGGTCGTTGTCCACTGGATCCCTCAGCGCCTGCACGGCACGATTTGGATGAGGAGGGAGATGAACAGAGGGACAAGGGTTGAGCGGAGGGGAGGAGGATGAGTGGAGGAGAGGGAGTTGAGGTGAGGGGATGGGGTTGAGCGGAGGGGAGGGGGTTTGAGTGGAGGGGATGGGCACAGGGTATAAGATCTTCGACAGGCGGGGAAGGTTCGGACGGGTTGGAAGGCGTACCACAGCAATGCCTAGCGACATGTTGCCAGTGAAGGGGGAGGAGCAGGGTCGCGGGCCGGCAGTACTTTTAGTGCGACTTTTGATTCTACTTTAGGTGGCAGGGAGGGGAGTCGTACCACAGCAATGCCGAGGGACATGTTGCCAATGAAGGGGAAGGGATGGCCGGGATCCACTGCCAGTGGCGTGATGATGGGCTCTAGCCACGCCCTGTAGTACGCCCGCAGCTGATGGGGCGACATGCGAGGGAAAGAGGGGAACACAGGGGAGAGCAGTGAGACGGCAGCGGCGTGATGATGGGCTCCAGCCACGCCCTGTAGTACGCCCGCAGCTGATGGGACGAACGAGAAGCGACAGAGGAGAAAAAGAGGGACATAGAGGGCAACGGGAGATGGCTAGGGTGATGATGGGCTCAAGCAACGCAGCAGATGACAGGCACACAGGAGGAGGGAGACAGGCAAAGCGAAGTGGCAGGGCGGGCGAGCGAGTCGAGCTTGTCCCAGTGCAGTGCACGATGCTGATGCCGTGCTTGCGCAGCGACGGCAGCAGGTCGAAGACGGGGGAGGCGCAGACGGGAGCCAGCCAGGTGAGTACGAGATAGATGATGCAGGATACAAAGTCGCCTGCCTGACTCACCTTGTCCTTGGCGGGCGACTCGAGCTCGTCCCAGTGCACGATGCTGATGCCGTGCTTGCGCAGCGACGGCAGCAGGTCCTGCTGCAGGCACTGCAGCTGCATCTGTACAAACTGCTCCACCTCCCTGCGCCCCACCAAGCACGCCACCACACGCGCCACACCAACCACAACACGCATTCCACACCAAGCGACATAACAGGATCGCAGCACGTGACAAACACAAGAAAGATCAGCGCAAGTTGACAAAAAACCGCCTAGCTTTGGATGAATATAGAATGGATTATGCGAGATACCTGGATGAATCCTGGAAGCGCAACCGTGAGGTTAACAGAAACTGCAGCGTCACTTCAAAGTGCTAGCTATCGTCATTATCTGATTAACGTAAAACAAGGCAGACTTTCCTTTGGAGAGGTTTTGGCCTGCTTAGATTCGCGACTTGGCCGTAACTTTTGCATACTGAGCGACATCTGACGTATGGACGATTCGCGTGACAGCGTGCGAGGTAATTTCAACTTGGTGCAAGATTTTAATTCTTCCGCCATCCATCCACGGACTCGAAACGCACAACGTTACAATCTTAAGGGTTTGGCGTATTCATGGACGCTGATTGTATCGCAGCTATGATTCCGCACTACATTTCTCCACTCGCAGCGATTGGCTCGCACTCACCTTGCGACGATTTTGAGCGACTGGCTGGGCGTCCAGAGCCAGCTGCTGCGGTGGCCGATGAGGTTCGCCATGCCCACCGCCTGCTGCCGCTTCAACGCGCCCACGCGCTTGCAGAAGAACTCGTCCAGGTTGCGCGCGGTGATCGCCAAGAAGCGAAGGCGCTGGCAGAGGACGCGTTTGAGAAGACAACAAGATACAGATAAGATATGTTAAAATGGGATAGCGGTCGTTCAGTTTGAACGCCGCGAAAGTGAGGAGAAAACCAGGAGCGGACGAGAAACAACCAGATGGGGATGGGGGAAACAGCCAGGGAGGCAGAGCGAATGCTGTCCGAGTGCGCTGAGACGTCGATAAAAAAAAAAACGATAAGATAATTTGTTGTACCTCCATAAGGGGCGTGCGCTTGTCCATCGCCTGGTAGAGCACGCGCCAGTTGAACGCCAACCAGCTGCGAGACAGCGGACAGCGACGCAGGGAGAAGGGACGAGGTTCATAAGCGACGCAGGGAGGAAGGACGAGGGACAAAAACGACATAAGGAACACCCCCAATAAGACGCAAAGGAAAGCCAACAGGTTAATGCCGGAGACCGACTATAGGAATCTTGTCAACAGCATAAGACGACGGAAGAGAGCGCAAAGCGAGACATTGCTAATCACGAAGACTACCGGCAGCGAGCGCGCACCTTAGCTCTTTGTTGTACACCGCATCAGCAGACACGAGCGCGTCAACACTCAACCCCGAAACGTCCTTCATCAGACCCTCCTGCTCCCACGGCGGCATAAGGCCCTCCGCCAAGCTCTCCATGGCTTTCATTCGGTGCTCCCAGCTCCCCACGCCCGCCTCCTCCATATCCGTCGCCGTCGTGCTTCCGTCGTCCACTTCATCCACATCCGACATGTACTCGACTGCCACATGGTCCTCTGCCTTGACTGACGTTGACAGAGCTCCGTTAACGAAATCGTCAGCCTTTATGTTATCCGACTCCGACGATTCATCCAGGTCAGCTTCGAAGGATTCCTCGACGAAAGCGACCGACGGGTCGGGGACGGCTGGCGTGCCGATTTGCGGATCCCACGGGCCGAACTCGCACGCTGGGGGGTTGGAGCTGTTTGGACCGATGCCATTAGCGCGGATGCTCTGTGAACGGCCGCGGTGCGACGAATCTGATGCTCCGGGATACCGGTTCGTGAAAGCGGAGGAAGAAACAACGACGGGAACTTTCGGCGTGAGCCGGAGTGGTTGCGTGGAGTTAGAGGAGAATAGTCTGGCGGTGCTGCATGATTGTGTCAGGCTTAGTGACGAGACGCCTGACGCCGTCGGACACGAGTGAAGAGCCTCCATAAACGGAGGAGCAAACTGTCAGATCTAGGAAGCAAGTGCGTGAAAGACGTTTTCTTTACGACGCGGCGAGAAACTAACGATGTAGCACGTATTTTCAAATCTAAACGACAACAGTCGGATGGAAGCAGAGTGGAGGTTGAACGGAGGCAGAAAGTTCAGATTTGTGCTTGCGTGCTTCGCCTCAACAAGCCTGTTCTGAGAACTCCAGGTTGGTGAGTGGCGGCTGGCTTGTCTTACTGGCGGCAAATGCCAGATGCAGAAAGCGATGAAACATGCAGGAAAAGCAAGCTGGCTCAGATATCACCAAGGCTCCTTTGCTAGCAGAGTGGATGGGAGGGTCTAGAAGTTGGATTGAACTGAAGCTGCTAGCGCGGGAATTCGGTGGCCAGAATGAGGATGGAAATGAGGCTGCAAGCAGGCTCGAGCAGCGCTTTTTGGGTTGACTGAGTGGGGGTGGTGGGGGGACACTGTTGAGAACAACTCGAAGCGTGACAGAAACAAGGTCAGGTTCGTCGCCTCTTCCAAACCACGTGGTTTGGGAAAGTGCTTCGGCGCCCTCGATTTCTGCTTTAGCAACTTTCGACAAGTCAACCCAAGGCTACAAGTGCCACTTGGCGTGTCTGCCAGCGCATCAGGGGAGAAATCTGGCCGCCGCCAATCTGAGAGGTGGGACTCGCGGCGCGTTTTGGCGGAGGTCTATTCGCCGTGGAACTACCTTGAATTGTGGCAGATCTGCGTGTCGCTCCCTCACCCACATGCCGGAAACCCTCAACCCGCCGAGGCTGGGAAATCTGATTGGGGGACCCGACGACAGCTCAGCAGGGGTCACATGCGCCGAACGAGTTTACTGAAACCAGACCAAAAATCTTCTGAGGCCCGGTAGGCAAATGCTCGAAGCCAACGGAGGCTCGGACGGAACATATCTCCGTCACAGTAAATATGGGGTGACGTTTGTCGTCCAACCAGAAGAAAGATGTCAGATGAAGGTACCAGCTAGCACCGTTTGTCGACTGAGCGTTGGATTTGACCACGTTTCATTACTGTTCGTAGCTGTATATCTCAACAATGAGAGATCAGTGTGTGGTTCATCAAGGTTAGACAATCATAGGAAATGGTTGGGTACCGTTCTTATAGATTACACTGACAAACGTCGCGTCGGAAAGCACACCTAACTTAGTTTTCCGATCATATAAGGTGCAAGTACAACAGCCGAGAACTGCATTTTGGTGGCGATTGGTTGCTTTTTGCTACTGCTCGCCTCGCCATGATCCCTCTTTGTAGCACTCCACAGAAACCGAGTGCCTGCAGCACACTTCATTTATCATCTGATTGCTCCGAGTTCACAAGAGCAGCAGGAGGCGCTAGCAGCAGCAACTCTACATTATCTCAGAGGAATCTTAGTGTGACGAGTCGATTCAGAATCGCCCGCGTGGGGGCCATTGTTCCGGTTGGAATTTTGCGTAAAGGGAAGAGCGGCGCCACGTGGAGTGATTCAGTGGTAACGGCCAGCGGGGATCGGACTGGATTTAACGCTCAGCAGGGTCAGATTAAGGAGTATCGAGGAAGATGCTGTGCACAACCAGCGAAAGGAGTGAGTCCCACAGATTATGCCACGTAATTTTAGAAGCCGCCGTTATGTAGCTCCAGGATATCGCTTTCCACTTGTCTCATTTGTTTGCGCGTAAACCCTGAATTCTTCAAACCCTTTTCGTGCCATTTGTTATGCACAACGTTGTTTGATCATATTCTGTCGCGTGTCTGCCTTTTTGCTTCCCCAACTCGTTCACCCTTGCCAACTTGCACTTTACATATCAGGTTTCCAGGCAAATCGGTTGGACAAGGTATCGCCACGTGGACTACACCGAGTGGAATGCTGACGATGCGTACGCCACGGAGGCGACCGACGTGGAGGGGGAGGCGAGGGAAGGCCCTGGGGTTGGCGAAGAGCGAGTGCTGCAGCGTCTGGTGGAGAGGTGAGGCGTCGCCAGGGGTGAGAATGCCAGGAGTGAGGGTGTCAGGAATGAGGCAGGAGGGGATTTTTCCTGTCACCAATACTTTCCACATCCTCTCCCCCATTCCCCGCTTCTCGTCCCCCATCCTCCTTCTCTCCCTGTCCCTTTCCTCCCCAAACCCGCTAACCCCCAACCCCCTATGCCAGGCTGGAAAGCACTCCCCTGACCGCATCCCCGCGCCACGTGTCCAGGGCAGTGCGCAGCGCGGGGGTGCGCCTCTCGTAACCCCGAGTTACAGCTCAGCTCACTATTGTCAGATGCCCCACCTACGATGCTGCCTTTTTTCCATCACTAATTCTTTCCAGTCTATCTCCCCTCTTCTCCTTCCTCTCCCACTTCTTTCCCTCTCCCATTCCCACCCCCCCTATGCCAGGCTGGAAAGCACTCCCCTGACCGCCTCCCCGCGCCACGTGTCCAGAGCAGTGCGCAGCGCGGGGGTGCGCCTCTCCGCCCGCCGTGTGGCGTTGGCAGCGCGGCTGCTCGCCAGCAGAGGCAGCTGGCGCAGGGCGCTGCTGCTCGTGCACTGGGCCGCTCGCCGCGACCAATCACGCGTTGACAGGTCAGACTAATGGCGGAGATATCAGTCAAGCTGACAGGTCCCCTCAGGTTCGGCTTCCCTGGCCATGCCTTCCTGGCCATGCCTTCCTGGCCATGCCTTCCTGGCCGTGCCTTCCTGGCCGTGCCTTTGTTGCTCGTTTCTGTTCAACTGCTCCCCGCACCTGCTTCTCGTTCATTCTCGGATTCTTGTCTCTTGAATCTTCTGGATCACCTACCCCTTCTCCTGTCTCCTTCCCCCCTACGTCCCCCCCTGCTGCAGGAAGGTGCTGACGTCGCTCATCGCTGCACTGGGCTGGCACTACCCCGATGCTGTGCTGCAAGCCATGCGACTCATGATGGTACGTGTTGTGCGGTGGGGTGCGGTGCTGCTGCTGTAAGCCATACGACATTAAGGCGCCCGCTGTGCAGTGCTGTGTGGTGCAGTGCAGTTCTGTGCTGTGTTGCAACTTGCAATCCGTGTACCTAATGATGATGCGTGCCTGCATGCTTGTTGATTCTCATGTTCCCCACTCCTTCTCCGTCCTACAACCCCTTCTCAAACCCCCTACTCTCCTAACCTCTGATCTCCCTTGTCATCCACCGCCTCCTCTCCCTCTCTGCTCTCCACCAGTCGCAACCCTCCACGTGGCCTGACCTCCCAGCCTACAGAGCAGCAGCAGTGGCGCTAGGAAGGGCGGGGTATTTACAGGAGCTGCTGCAGGTGGGCGGAGAGAGGATGGGCATGGGGAATGTTGATTCCAGTCTCGTACACCTGAAATCTTAAACCCTTCAGCTATGTTCAGTTCAGTTCAGTTCAGTGCAGTTCAGTGCAGTTGTCTCTGCTTTCAGCCGTCAATTCTCATTGTTCCTTTCCTGTTGAGAGGAGGCTCTTCAGTTCACAGTAGTTTCGTCTCTCCGCTGTTTCAAGCTCAGACGAACAAAAGAATTACTCTGACCCATGTCTGCTGGCCCCTCTCTTCCCTTCTCGCCCCCATGTGAGGAGCAGAGCAGCTGATGCAGGATCTCAGGGAGGGCCCCACCCGCACCAACCGCACTGCACCACTTGAAACAGATGGCAGAGGCGCTGGCACTGGCGCTGGCGCTGGTGCTGCCAGTGAGGCTAGCAGCACAAGCAGCAGCGGCTCCAAGTCGGGTGCAGCAGGGAGCAGCTGGCTGGCGCCAGACGTGGTGGTGTACAACGCTGTGAGTGCTGCTGCCCCTCGTGAATCCCATCCACTGCCCCTGCTAGGTACCGCCTTACCACCCACTCCCCCCTAAGTCGGGTCCAGCAGGCTACTGCTGGCTGGCGCCAGACGTGGTGGTGTACAACACTGTGAGTGCTGCTGCCCCTCGTGAACCCCATCCACCGCCCCTGGTAGGTACCGCCTTACCACCCACTCCCCCCTAAGTCGGGTGCAGCAGGCTGCTGCTGGCTGGCGCCAGACGTGGTGGTGTACAACGCTGTGAGTGCTGCTGCTGTGCTGCCCCTCATAAACCTCATCTACCGCCCCTAGTAGGTACCCCCTACCCTCAAGCACCCACTCCCTTCAGTTCGGGTGCAGGGGGAAGCAGCTGGCTGGCTCCAGATGTGGTGGTGTGGTGTACAACGCTGTGAGTGTTGCACCCGCTCCTCTCTAAGCTGGATATCTGAACGCAGTACTAAGGCAGCAATTTTGATCTTGTTTTTGCCACACAACTCGGCGTAAATCCACTAGAGAGAGCTCAAAGTCTGTGCGTCCTCCTCAGCCCTTTCCCATCCCCTCTCCTCTCTCCGCCACACTCTCCCCATGCCCGCAGGTCCTGAATGCGTGTGGAGCGAAGAGGCAGTGGAAGGGCGTGCAGTGGGTGCTGCAGCAGATGCGCTGCGCAGTGAGGGGGTACCTCCCGACGCAGCCACCTCTCGCTCCTGAGGAAGCCACCTTTAGGCTGGCCATCCAAGCCCTGTCGCTGTGCACTTTCCCCACTCCCCTCCGCTCTCCCCATGCCCGCAGGTCCTGAATGCGTGTGGCGCCAAGCGGCAGTGGAAGGGCGTGCAGTGGGTGCTGCAGCAGATGCGCGGCGAGGGGGTCGCTCCTGATGCAGCCACGTTTGGGCTGGCCATCCAAGCCCTGTCGCTGTGCAATCAGACGCACCTGGCACTGCAGAGGCTCGCTGATATGGAGGCTGCTGGCTTCCCTCCCACCGTCCAAACCTACCGAGGTAATTGTCAGACTTACCACCCAGACTTTGGTGGCGAGTCGAAGCATAACTTGGGTGCTGGCAGCAGCAGTGATGAAGATGTGTTGAAGAAACCCCCTCAGACCCGGTGACGGGGACAACTGAGAATGAGAACATCTCCTTTTGATTCGACTCAAGAGTCACCTCTTTTGAGTCGACTCAAAAGGCAGCAGCAGCAGTGATGAAGATGCGTTGAAAGTCCCCCTCAGACCCAATGATGGGGACAACTGAGAATGAGAACAACTCCTTTTGAGTTGACTCAAAAGGCAGCAGCAGCAATGATGAAGAAGCGTTGAAGGTGCCCCTCAGACCCGGTGACGGGGACAACTGAGAATGAGAACATCTCCGTTCTGCGCCTCTCTTCCCCGTCACTCCCTTGACAGACCTGGTGCGAGTGCTGGCGGCCGCAGGGAGGGTGGAGGAGGCAGAGGCGGCAGTGAGGGAGATGCAGGAGCGAGGGATGGAGGGCAACGCAGGGGTGTTCCACGCCCTCGCCTGTGCTCTCTGCTCCGCTGGGCGGTGGCAGGATGCTGTTGCTCTGGTGAGTTTGAAACCTTTCCAGCTCATTCGTGACGCTGTGTTTCGCTACATCCACCAATTACAGTAGCTGGCTAATCTGGGTTTTATGGCTATTCCGTATGATATGGGCAGGTGGAAAAGATTTCTCGGGCAGAGGATGCGCAGCCGGCAGTGGTGACGTGGACAGGCCTGATTCGTGCATGCGAGCGAAGCAACCGATTGGCCGACGCGGCCCAGGTGTTTCTCAAGATGCAGAAGCAGGGGTGCACACCCAACATCACCACGTGCAACATCATGATCACCGTTTTTGCCCGCACGGGCAGGTTTGCTGCTGTGGAGGAAATTTACGCAGCTGCCCGGTCGGGTGGCAAGCCGATAATCACGGGCAGGAAGAGGTGGATGAGCAAAGGGGAGAGGCAGGAGGCTAGGATGCAGCGGTTGGTGGCTAATAACAGGAGCAGGAGGAGGCTGATACGAGCAGGGAAATTGGAGAGAGGAGGAAAGGTGGGCGAGGTAGCATATGCGGTTGGGGTTGGGGAAGCAGGGGAAGAGGAAAGAGAGGGGAGAACACGAGAGGAGGAAGAAGAGGAAGAGGAGGTGGAGGAGGAGGGCGAAGTGGAGGCCGTTGGGGAGGTGATGACAAGCGTTGGGGAGATCAGCAAGGGTGGGGAGAATGAGGAGCAAAACAGGGAGGAGAGCGGGAAAGAGGAGAGGGACGAGGGCAACGAGGTTGAGAAGGTGTGGTTCGGGAGGAGGCGGGAGGATCCTCCACTGGTGCCCAATGGCCACACGTTCGTAGCCATGCTGGGAGCGTGCGTGCGGTGCCGGCAGTGGCAGGCCGTGAGGCAGGTAGCAAGAGACATGCAGCGGGCGGGGTGGCCCCTGCAGGTGCGGCAGCACGGGTGGGTGGTGGACGCGCTTCTCAAGGGCAAACAGGCAGTCATTGCTGACGAGCTGCTGCTTGCCATGCGCGGTGGGTCGCAGTCACATGTGGACCCACACCTCGATAGGGTGACAGCTGAGGGGGCTTCTGGGCTTGCTAACAACCAGCAGGACCCCGGTTGTGCAATGAGTGAGGATTCAGGAGGTGTGGGCAGGGAGGGGAGTCAACGCATGGTTGAGAGTGTGGGTGGGGATGAGAGTCCTTCTGGGGCAGGTGAGAGCATGAGCGAGGAGGAGCAGAGGAGGGCAGCGGCACAGCAGCAGCTTGAGTTGCTGTCGGCACTAACTGGTGCAAGCAGCAGAGGAGACGGGAGGAGCAGACAGGGGATTTCAGACGACAGCGGTGAAGACAGCAGCCGCAGGAGAAGCAGCAGTGCTGACATTCCCAGCAGCACCAGCACCATTGACAACACGAGCACCAGCACAGACAGCAGCAGCAGCAGCACGACTGACAAGGACAGCAGCAGTGGCGAGCTGAGCCCTGTGTTGCTGAGGGTGCGCGAGCTGCTAGAGTCCCATGCGCCACTGGATGGCTTTGCGTGGCGCTATGCAGTGGCATCGGTGAGCGGCGGTCTGACGGGGGCAGGGGTGGAGGAGACTGTGGGAGTGATGGACGCCTGGGGGAGGGCTGTGGAGGGGAGAGGTTTGGAGGGGATGGGTTTGGAAGGCGGGATGATAAACGGGGAGGTGGTAAGTGGAGGAGGCAGATCTGGGATTGCCGCAGGTGCTGATTCAGCAGTTGTGGAGTCAGGGTTTTCTGAGTCATCAGGCGTTGAATCAGCCAGGTTACAGGGAGAGCCAACAGAGAGGGATTCTGTTGGTGCTGCTGCTGCTGTTGCAAGTGGTGTTGCTAATGCTGCTGGTGCTAGTGGTGATGCTGGTGCTTCTGGTGGTGCTGCATCTCCTGCTTCCCTTGAAGCCTACCCTGCATCCTCTCCTGCGGTGGACCCTGGTGTGCTGGCCGACCTTGTAAGGGGGCTGCTTATAGGGGGGAAGACGGAGGAGGTTCGAGTGGCGTTGCGATTGGTCGACCGGATGGAGAAGGAAGGGTGGGTGGCAGACGCCGGCATATACACCAGCCTGCTGCACCGGACCGTCAGGCTGGGGATGGGAGCTGAGGCTCGGGAGGTGCTGGCTCGGGCCGAGGCAGCAGGTGTGAAGGTTGAGTACGATGAGCTGGAATTGAGTGACTCTGTAGGGGGTACGGCTAGGGAGGGGGGAGAGAGAGTGGGAAGAGGATGGCAAAGAGGGGAGGGAGATCGGGTGGACGAGCCATCTGCTTGGGACATTTTGAAAGTATGGAGGAAGGAGCTGAAATGAGAAACAACAATAACGCATTTCCTGAATTAGCAATAACCCTGGCTGAAATTTTAGCTTCATAGGATGCTCACCGGCTGGTTGGGGAAACAATATCATAGTATAGCAACTGTTACAAGTTACTTCCGAGTTACTAAGATCAGTAAATGTTACCATCTGACTTTCGCGAAGCGTTTTTCCGTCGCCTTGCATCCCTGCCACTCGCCTGACGGACTTCAGGCTTTAGTTTCTGAAGCTCACTAATGTCAGTCTTACATCTCTTGCTCGCCTCGCGCTCCGCTGCAGCTCCACCGACCTCGAAACGCGTCACACGCGGACGGCTCACAGATAGACGGCCACGTAGTGGTTTTTGACAGCCACGTAGCGGTTTTGACGGCCACGTAGCGGCTTTGACGGCCACGTAGCGGTTTTCTTCGTCTTTCCGTCAAGCATTGAGACGTCTCAAAGCGACCATCACAGAGGACAGTTATGTAGCGAATTAGGAGGGTTCCTCCTCGCTTTCCGTCGAGTAGGTTAGCTTGGGTCGACGTCTATTAGAAGGTAAAATAGAACGACAACATTGTTTCGGTATCTTACTGTTTCGGCGTGACGTTGATTGCGGCTTTCCGTCGAAGCCATGGCTGCCTCAGAATTCGAGATTTGTGATAACTGGTAAAGTCTAGGCCCTCGTTTTCTCCGGGTGCGTCGCGCACACTCGGTATTTTAATCCGTGTCGTATTTTAGATTAATCTAGTTCCATGAGGTCTCATAGAATGAGTTTTTTCAACTGTGTCATTCCTGGTCGTCCCTGCGTGTCGTCCACGTATGTTTTTTAGGCGCCTCAAAAACTGTTTCATGAGGTCTCATAATGGACTGTTCAACCATGTATTCCTGCTCGTCCCTACGTGTCGTCCATGTCGCCAACCCCATTCCCGTCCCTTCCCATCCCGTCGCTTCCATTCCGTTCCTCAGCGCTCGTCCCATCCCCGTCGCCAACCTACCGCTGCACGCGGCGCACTGCGAGACGCGCCTCGTGCGCTGTGACGGGTGCGATGAGATGGTGGCCTCTGCCGCCATGGACCAACATATTGCAGCCGTGCACGCCCCTGTGAGTGCTGCTGGCACTTTGCAGGTGGGTTGTGACACTTTGTGTGCGGTGCAATGGGGTGTGACGAGATGGTGACCGTTGCCACCATGGATCAACACATATCAGCCGTGCACGCCCCTGTAAGTGCTGACAGCACCGCTCCAGTGAGTAGCGGCACGGCACTTTGTGCTTGAGTAGACGGGTGCGATGAGATGGTGGCCACTGCCGCCATGGACCAACACGTGGCAGCTGTGCACGCCCCAGTGAGCACCGGCACGGGTGGGTTGTGACACATTGTGTGCGGTGCAATGGGGTGCAACGAGATGGTGGCCACTGCCGCCATGGATCAACATATATTAGCCGTGCACGCTCCTGTAAGTACGGGCAGAACCGCTCAGGCTGGTAGCGGCCCCTTTGTGCTTGACGAGATGGTGGCCAGGCCACTGCCGCCATGGACCAACACGTGGCAGCCGTGCACGCTCCTGTAAGTACGGGCATGTTGGGTCCAAGTTGACAGTTGCAATGAGATGGTGGTCACTGCACCCCATGCACCCATGCACCCATGCACGCACCCATCGTTATCTTGACCCATCTTCCCCATTCCTCCACCTTCCCCACCACCTCTTCCTCAGGCGCCCTGCGCCCTGTGTGGAGAGCCCATTGAGCGGCAGCTTCTACCAGAGCACGAGGCATCAGCTGGCCTTGTCAAAAGGGCCTGTCAGTTCTCTATCATTTTCCCTCTTCCCTGTACCCCCCCCCCCCCCCCCCCCCCACCCTTCCTCTTCCTCAGGCGCCCTGCTCCCTGTGTGGAGAGCCCATGGAGCGGCGGCTACTGCCAGAGCACGAGTCGTCAGCATGCCCCCTGCGCTCCCTGATATGCCCCTACTGTGACCTCCCTGTCACCGCCATGGACCTCCAATCTCACGCTGTAAGGATATTCTTGTTGAGTCGACGATAGAGGCATGCTTCTTGCCTCCTGCGCCTTGCGCTCTGCCTGCCCCCTGCGCTCCCTGATATGCCCCTACTGTGACCTCCCTGTCGCCGCCATGGACCTCCAATCCCACACTGTAAGACGACGTGTGCCCATCGCTCCATGCTGCCGCTCCCAGCGCCGGCAGATCAGGTATATCTCACAGCGCTCCCATATGTTTCTATGCACGTACACACTCTCCCTCTTCCCACTGTTCACGGGACGTGTGTCGGAGCCGCATGGACTGGTGTGACGTGTGGTGAAAGTACTCACCAGGCTGTTTTTTTAGTCGACTCAAAAGTCACGTTTTGAGTAGACTAAAAAGATATCACAGGATCTTTTGAGGCGCCTCAAAAACAGAATTATGCCGCCATTCCCCCATGAGGAGACTTTTGAGTCGACTCAAAAGTGGCATGTGCAGGAAGTACACCGGTTGCCCCACTTCACAGTTACCCTTTTCACATCGCTTCCGTGTGTGTCTCCTCGTACACACTCTCGCCGCCTTCCCATCGCTCCCCTGCAGGACGTGTGTGGCAGCCGTACGGACCTGTGTGACATGCACAGCGAGTACACCGGCTTGTATCACATCAACTTACATGCATTGCATTGGACATTTTGAGACGTCTCAAAACAACACTTTTGTCACCCAGCTTGTATCATATCAACTTACATGCATTGCATTACACATGCTCTCTCTCGCTCCCCTGCAGGACGTGTGTGGCAGCCGTACAGACCCGTGTGACATCTGCAGCAAGTACGTGCGAAAGAGAGAGCAAGCAGACCACCAGCAGCAGCACCTCTTGCAACCATCACTCCATGCTGCCACTCCCAGAACCAGCAGAGATGCTGCCGGCACTGGTTCATCTCACCGCACTCGAGAGGCTCGCAATGTTCCGAATGGTGGTGGTGCTAGTGGTGATAGTGGTGGTGGTGGGGGGGGGTCTGGGGGGATAGGAAGGTACTGGCAGCTGCTTGTGCCTGTAGGGTTTGTGGTGGTGGGTGTGGCTTTGGCACTGGGTGTACGGAAGAGAAACAAACTGTAGGGAAACTTTTGGTACTAGGGTTTGTTATGTACCAATCGATATTTTTATAGCGGATGCCTCAATGTGGGTAGTCTTGAAGCTGGCCATTGCTGAACTATTTTTTCACAAACGAGCTCATCAGCACATACAGAAATATTATGCAACACATTCACGTTACAATGGCCGACGTCTTCGCGAACAGAAATTGCCTCATATCGCGTATATTCCAGTTTCCATCTCCTTCCCTCAGCCATGTGGCTGCATCAACACACTACGACAGTTTTCAAGTGCATCTCTCCGTGTTTCACGGCGGTGAGAACGCCTTTCAGGTTCTACTACCTGTCAGCTTCTGTACAAGAGTCAACGAGTCAAAAGATTCAACGACCATCCGCCATGGACGCGGTTTCGCGGCAGTCGCTTTCATTGACGCAATGCGCAGCGCACATTCCGCACCGAGCGTTGCAACCGCTGGCTGCGTTTCGCTGCGACAGCGCACTCTCGAAGCTGTCGCCTGGATTCGCGAAATCGTCGAGCTGTTTCAACTCCTCGCACAGATGTTCGCCGAGTCTGCTGCGACGAAGAGCCTCGTCCGCGTTGAACAGAGTTAGCAGGAACCGCAGGAGCACTGCCAGCAGCCAGGGGATTGTGAAACACAGCGAAGCAGCTGTTCTGGCGAGTATTCACGGTGATAATAGCGGTGCCACTGACTACAGTGGAGTAGATACTACCAATGGCGGTAGCGATAATAGGAGTGGCGGCACCAGCGGAAGCAGCAAGGTGACTAACCCCTCCTCCGAACATCTCGCGGCTTCCCCGGCGGTTGGAAACACCCCGGAAGCTTCGTTTCTAGGGCCGGTCGGGGAGATGCTGCAGCGGAACAAGGCGAAGACGGTCGAGTGAGTTCGCGCCTGGTGAGAAGCTTCGTGGAACCTTCACAACCTTAAGAAATTGGAAAGTTTTAAGCATCTCCTTTTTCCCCTCATCACTCTCATTTTTGCCACCTCGTGCAGCAGGTACAGTAAATTTCTTTCGTCTCTCAATCTTGTTCTTTCTCCCCTCTCTCTCCGCCAATCAACGGTCCCCAGGGTGCTCGAAAAGCTGCAGTCGTTTGGTGTGGCTGGCGTCCTCTCTTATGGCCTCTTCAATACAGTCTACTACATTTTCGCCTTCCTCTTCGTATTGTGAGTTGAACATATAGCATCTCGCATTCAAATAAGTCCCAAATCTCACGTGCGGTGCCCCTCCCTCCCTCCCCCCTATTACTCCTCAACCCCGCCACGTTCCCTCACGCCTCACCCCTCACTTTCACTCTTTCTTCTTTTGAGTCCAAACTGAAGCCGTCTATACCCCTCCCTTACCGTCCTAGTCACCATCTGCTCCCAATTATCCCTCCACCCCTTCCCCCCCCTCTCTCTCTGTATGTGTCCATGTGCGTCAATGTGCAGTCTCTACGTGGCCCCATCCCCTCGAGGCTTAAACTTGCTCTTGAGTCGACTCAAAAGCAATTATCCCTCCACCCCATTCCCCTTCCCCCCTCTCTCTGTATGTGCCCATGTGCGTCTGTGTGTAGTCTCTGCGTGGCCCCATCCCCTCGAGGCTTGGGCTTCGCAGCAGCAGCAAAGAAGTGAGTGCCTTGCCTAGCAGCCGAACAACAGGTGAGGACCAGCAACAGCACAGGAAAGGGTTTGCCCAACTAAGTATTTCTCCCCGTGGCCCCATCCCCTCAAGGCTTGGGCTTCGCAGCAGCGGCAATGAAGTGAGTGCTCTGTTGCCTGACCAGGTGCTTTGTGCCCTGCCTAACAGCCTAACAGCCTAACAGCCTCACAGCCTAACAGCCTAACAGCCTCACAGCCTAACAGCCTAACAGCCTAACAGCCTCACAGCCTAACAGCCTCACAGCCTAACAGCCTAACAGCCTAACAGCCTCACAGCCTAACAGCCTAACAGCCTAACAGCCTAACAGCCTAACAGTTTAACAGCCTAACAGCCTAACAGCCTAACAGCCTAACAGCCTCACAGCCTAACAGCCAAACAGCCTAACAGCCTAACAGCCTCACAGCCTAACAGCCTAACAGCCTAACAGCCTAACAGCCTAACAGCCTAACAGCCTAACCGCCTAACAACAGACGAGGACCAGCAACAACACAGGAAAGCGTTGTGTTAGCCTCACAAAATGACATTCTATGTGGCCCCATCCCCTGGCCCTGCAAGTGAGTGCTCTGTTTCAAGGGCTGGGAATAATCGAGGGCGTGCAAGGGTGTAACGACGACTATGGTGGGGAGAGAGCAAGGGATTGTCTAGACGATGACGAGCAGTCACAGTGCGGGGTAGCGAGTGTGTGGGTTAACGTGTGCGAGTGGGGGTGAGGTGAAGCATGTGAGGGATTCCGATTTCATCCGCCATTTGCACCCACCTCTTCCCTCTCCTTTCTTCCTGCTCCCCTCTTCTCTCTCCACTCTTCCCTCTCCTCTCGTTCCCCTCGACCCTTATCTACCCTTCCTCCCCCCCCACAGATTTCTCAAGGTCTTTGCAGTGGCGTGGGCGGGCAATCAAGTCACCAAACTCATCCGTAGTCTATCTTGACGCGCCGGAAAAAAAGAAATTTCCATGTTCCTTTCCACCCTCCCCGTCCCTCCACAGCTTTCTCAAGGTCTTTGCAGTGGTTTGGGCGGGCAGTCAGGTCACCAAGCTCGTGCGAGCAGGCGGGTGAGAAATGAGATGTGGAGATGATGATTTGCTTGATTGCCCTAAAATATCAGTATGCTCCCTGGGTGACTTGACGTGGTGTGGGCGTGGGCGGCCAGTCAGGTCATTTAGGTCATCCGTGCGGGCAGGTGACATTCATTATGCTGCAGGGTTTTTTTTTAGAATTCTCAAAAAAACCCTAAGGTCATCCGTGCGGGCAGGTGACATTCATTTCACTGCCGGCTCGGCGGCTCTACCCCTCCATCCCATAGTGCTGATGCCAGCTCCTTTCATGGAAACAGCCATCCTTCATTGCTCTGCTTCTCTGCTCCAGAACACCGTTCCCTTTTCGTCGCCTCACTCCATCCCTCCACCCCACCCACCCCCGAGCACTGATGCTATGCTAGTGCCCTTCATAGAAGGAGCCATAACTAGCCTCTCCTCCTCCACATGCGTGTTCAATCTCACTCCACACCATGCTTGACCCCTGCTTCGTCTCTCCATGCTTCGTCTCTCCATGCTTCCGTCTCTCCATGCTTCCGTCTCTCCATGCTTCGTCTCTCCATGCTTCGTCTCTCCATCCCCTCCTGCAGAGCACTGATGTTAGCGCCCTTGATGGAAAGAGCCATCACTGCACTTTCCTCATCGAAGGGTGTGTTCAAGTCCCGAGCCCAGGCAGTGGCAGCCATAGTTACCTTCTGCTTTGGCCTTGCTGGGATGCTCTTTCTTGCGGTCACTGCACTGTGGGCATGAGTAATTCACCATGCCCTGTACTGAAGCTGGGCTCAGCCAGGCTCGTTCCGTTCACTCATCTAACCCATACGGTTTGTTTCGTTGTCTTAAGAACAACAAGAGTTGACGCAAGTAAGGCCTCCGGAGCCCACCTGTCCGCTCCTGACAAGTCCTGTGGGTGTGAGGAATTCACCATGCCATGTACTGAAGCTGCGCCGCGTCGTCAACACATGTTTTCAAGTCCGGAGGCCAGGCTTCTACATTACTTGCCCTCTGCTTTGGCCTGGTGTGGTTTCTCTTCCTGGCAGTCACTGCCTGTGGGCATGAGAATTTCACCATTCCTGCCTGGAGTGCTATTCTGCTGCTGTAGCGTGGTTGTCGGGCTTTCCCTGGTACAGCCTGGCTGGGGTGCACAGCTGTTTTGTTCAGTGCGTAAGAATCATTAGGAAGGAGTCGTGTACGGTATGTGTAATCCCTCTCTGTACACGTGTGCTGCCGTATCAAGACCTGTACCGTACGTTGCTTTTTACGGTACCGTACATCACAATCCTACTACGCTCATACACATGGCTGGATAAAATGCTGCCTTTAACTAGGATAATTCACTTCAATCAAACTGCCGATTGTTTGTACATGGAGGTATCAAGCACCTGCTTTCCGCACATGGCACACACACCTGAGCCGGGGGGGGCGGGAATGGAGGGGGTGTGGAACGGGCAGGAGGGAGTGGAAACAAGGACGTAGGGAGGGACAGGGAACATATACAGATCAGCTGTCGAAATTGACAACCTTTTCACAACCAAAATGTGTACCATGATTGGCATGGTGGAGAGGGGAAGTCAAAGGCGCCTGAAAATGACAGGAGAACGGTTCTTCAATCGACGTGGCAATCCAAAAATGTAACGTACTTGAGAGGTAACATACAGACGCTCACCTTTCTTATAAGAGCAGAGGTGGCAGTATTTTCCCTCCTGGTGTAGCTGCTGTTTGCAAATGATGCACTTAAAGGATGCAGACGACGCATACGGAGTGTACCTGCTCATACGAGGGACCCATAGGGTGGAAAGGCCAGGGCGGACAGGCAAGGGTAAGGAGACCCGGATGGAGCGGAGAACGGAATGATGGGAAGAGAGTGGGAGTTAAGAGGCGTGAGAGTGCAGAAAGGGAAGAGATGGTGGGAATGATATCTATAGAAGAAACAGAGGAGACCAAATGACCAACATCGAGGCAGGTGTGATTCTCGGAGCCTCATATAACAAATACATTGTAAGAATACAGTATCCCTGCTACTAATGAAACAACATAGCTGCTCGGTATTTCCGGTGGTACCTTTTCTTCTTGGACAGCAGCTTGTTCTCGTTGATCTTTCTGCCGCCACTCTCAGTGGTGTTGGACGCCCCCTCCTTCCACTTGTCTGGCACGATCACCTTTGACAGCTTCTTCGCACCTGCCAGCATGGGGAGGAAGGGAACGTCTAGACATATGAGCGTACATGGATGGAGGTAACCACTTCAATCAGCCGTCTTCCTGCCGCCGCTCTCAGTGGAGTTGGACGCCCCCTCCCTCCACTTGTCGGGCACGAACACTTTTGACAGCTTCATAGCACCTCCCGGGTGCCAGCATAAGTAGAAATATCTCAAAGAGAGAGAGATAGAGAGAGAGAGAGAGAGAGAGAGAGAGAGAGAGAGAGAGAGAGAGAGAGAGAGAGAGAGAGAGAGAGGGAAAAAAAAAAAAAACAAACAAACAAAAAAACCAAACAAAACGAAACAAAAAAAACATTGTCAGACTCGACGCTCTTGCTGGCTCAACGCCCTTGCAAGCTTCAAGAGAAGGACGAAGAGGAGGGGAGACATACAGGCAGAGATGCTAGAGACGACAAGGAAGCTTCAGGGACATTCAAAAGTACGTAACTCACATTTATCGCACACCATGCTGGTTCCTTGGAATAAGAGTCTTTGATAATTCCTTCCTTGCTGCAAGCTTCCTTGAATACCCTTCCTTATACTAGCCTTCCGAGAACCACGCAAGCAGAAAGCAGGAACTAATGATAACTAATTGTTCACTCGACTAAAAAAATCGGCGGAATAGAAGCGCTGTTGGTCGTGCTGCGGTTTCGCGAACTGACGGCGAAAGTGAAGCCTACAGTTTCTCGAACACCCTACACAGTTCGTCGTGGAAAAGGTGAGCGAAACCTGGCCTACGATTAGACCGTTAAGCACAGACGAGTGTAGAACTCAACATAAACTGCCACTATCTAACGTGCCGGGTGAGCTGCTAGCGTGCTTCGTGTATGAATTCGAAGCATTGAATGGAGCGTGACTTGCGCTGCGACTCAACTAAATATTTCAACTTGACCAAGGGTCAGGGGAACTGTGTGGCTGGGGAATCTCGACTCCGTTATAAGGTGACGCTGGTACAACACACTGACACTTTGTTAACCCTCGTAATTTGTTCTTTAAGTACGATTGTAGGCTCGCGAACAGAACTTTCCAACTCATATCGAAGAACAGCTTGTGAACAGTGTTAGAGAATCCTAATTCAGGTTGTACACTGCTGTAAGGAATTTTCTCGGCATTCCTTACGGAGCCGACTACACCGCGTACAGCAACAGCCGATTGTTCGCCCGTTACTGCTAACGGAACTTCGCCGACTTCGCGCGCACTGTTTTACCAAACCTCGCACTGCTGGCATGGCCGTATCGGCCTACGCTTCGGGACTAGCCCGAGCCTCGCTCCAGCGTAGCACTAGCAAGCTCGCACGCACCGCGTTACCGTTTTGCATGTTTCGCGTATAAATGTTCGCTCATGCCTTCGCTCACATTTTGTACTCGTTTGACACCTTAGTGCAATTCTCGCTACCTCGATTCATTGCACCCGTAACAACTGCACAGTATGAGGTCGTCGTATAAGTTACGACTGACTAAATTTCGAAACCTAGTTAGATTTCACCAGAGCCTACACATTTCGGCTCGATACTCCCCTCAGAACAACTCGACGACAACGACGACAGCCAAGGCGACGGAAGAAAACAGCTGCCAAAAGCTCCGCGCATGCGCACCGCTCTTTGGCGGAGGGGAAGTCGGGGGGGAAGAAGGAGTTGGCGGAGGAGGGGACGGCAGGACCGGTGGGGGGGGCGACGCGCTGGGAGAAGACGCTGAAGCGCTAGCGAAACCCGACGATTCAGCGAGTTTCCGTCCACATTCGCCCATCCCGCCAACGATAGAGAGATCGCCGGCGCTAAGAGAGAGTAAATCCTCGACGAACGGAGGCAGGAGAAGCGCGTTGACGGTGTGAACCACGACTGTGCTGCTCCCCGCGTCCCCGGCGCTTAGTTGCGCGGACGCGGCGGCGGAATCTGCGCCTTTCCCGGAATGGCGCTCTTCGGCGGGGGAGAGGGGAGTCAAGGACAGCGTGAGCGCGCGATACTGCTTCACGCTGGTTCCGCCGACCTGGAACGCCAGCTCGTCCACGTGGAGCGCGATCGGTGCGCCCTGGAGCGTCTCGTACGAGCCTTCCCACGCGAACGCGGAGACGGGTCGCGCGACCACGTGGTACAGGAGCACATCGCGGAGGAGCGCGGCGTTACGCGGAAGCTTCAGGAACGCGAGTAGCGCGGGGTCCGCGCGCATGAGGGCGACGTTGGTTGGCGCGAAAATGGTCAGCGCGGATCCGAATCTCGCGCGGAGTTCGAGCTCTGGCATGATCCCTGCTTGCTTGATGAGGCTCGCGAATCCCGTGAGTCCCGCCGACGATAGCTCTCTTTCCAAGGACAAATCGACGCCAGAAGAGACCACGTCAGATGATTCGTGCGCGGATTGCGCGGATGCGAGCATTCTGGCGGGTTGTGACGATCCGAGAAGGAGCAACACCAGCGGGAGCATGGCTACGACTTGAGCTAAGCGCGTCATCGTGTGAATGAGAGGAGAGGGCTATCGACGGCGACGTGATCTGGAATGCTGAGAGCGCTGCAGAACCACGTACGCAGATGATGTGACCAATGTGCTTGAATAACCACCGAGAAATAGAATGCGGAGTGGTTTGCAGAATCAGTAGTTACTAAAAGTGGATGTAAGATCTTGTGAAGCTGTTCTGTGGCAGCAGACGTCCTAAATACTGCGCTTGTGATGGACGGGTGGGGTGGGGGCTGCGCTTGTGTCGCGTGCTGCTGGCTCCTGGGTGTGAGTGACATGCGGGCCAAACCTCTGCACTCGGAGACGCGTTACAGTCGGGGCTGAAAGGTAGGGGTGTCCCCGCGAAGACCGGCTCACTGTGACCTTTCACGTTTTGAAGCTTTCGAAAGCAATATAGAGCGGTTTTGTAAAGTGATGCGCGGAGATGCAAATTCGGTTTGCACACATCTCAAAAAGTTTGGTCGGTCAGTTTATGGGGCGCAGCGAGTGAGTCAATGTCGGGAATCGGTACAGCACAAACCTGTCAGGCTCGCTCATACGCTGGGAGGGCGCGACAAGTTCGGTGGTGTTGGCTTGGCGGCTGGTTCGGGGGAATAGATCTGGGAACGGGGAGGGGGAGGTAGGAAACAGGGGAAGACCTTCTACGGCACGCCACGCGACTCCAGGCGCGGGGGCAGCGGGTTTCGCAGCGCAGTCAGATGGAGTGGTGGATGGATTTGTGGAAGCCTCTGGTTTACTGTGTGCCAAACATGGAAGGAAATCGTAGAAAACTTGTACGATACAAGTAGAAATCTTGTAAGATGTTCGCTTGTACGCGGTAAAAAAATTGTCATATGTAAAAAAATATTTATAGCTTTTACCTTCCATCATACAATGGTTATGGAACACTTGCACCCCTGTTTCTGTTTCCATCTGTTACGATGTGAAGTTTTATGAAAAAAGGCATTCCTGTATGCTGCAGGAGCCGACTCTACCGAGTATGAAGTTGAGTCAGGAAGAGCCGAAGCGACACAGCAACCGTCAGTCCAAGACCGATGCAGGCAGAAACATTTGAAGTGAAAAGAGCGAGAACAGGTTTTGAACGAATTCCCGCGCCGCACGGTTTTGAATTCAGTTGTAATAAGGGAATGTACCCCTTAGAGTACATGGCTAGTCTAGGACCTTTCGTATTCCCCTGTAATCTTATATAAACCCGATGTATGCATGTTATTATCATCTCAGTCATTTTACATTCACTCTGACCTGAGGTCTAAACTTCCGCTGCAATACCACTCTACGATCAATCCTGAGCGATCCTTTGCTAAGTCCCACTTGGGATTGTAACATGGTATGAGAGCGACTCAGGGATTCTTCGCAACTTCACTTCCGTAAAACTCACCGAATCAAAACCTGGCGAGCGGCACACGCTCCAAGACCAAGATGGCCGGAGGATCCGGAGGTCAAGCAAATCTGACGGCCGAGGGACAACCCAACCCAGCTGCGACAAATGAGGCGACAACCACGATCGGCACTGCCGCTCTCGAGCAACTTTTTGCTCGACTTTCAACTATGGAGAAAGAACTCCAAGATCTGCGCAAAGGCGATGCGGGAAACTCCTCCCAACCAGCACAACCTGGACAACAGGCTGAGAAAAGACGTGATACCGCCGCGCACACCTTCTCCCTCGACACAAACAAATCAGCAACAACCGCCCCCCGTCCAAGTGATGAGGCTATCAACTCTACGCAAGCACGTTTTCTCAGCGTTTCAAAAATTAAGACTACTGCCGCATTCGACGGCAAGGATTTCTACACATGGAGTTTTGAGCTGGAGCTCCTCCTACAAACAGCGCAGATCTACCATTACTTCGACGGTTCTTACTCTAAACCGGTGGAAAACACCGACGTCGCCAGAGCTCAGTACTACAGTGAGTCCCTCATGGCCTACAGCGTACTACTACGCAACATGACACCTGCGGAACAACTCAACATACGCTCCTACAAAGAGAGCGACGCTCCAGGAGTGGAAGCCTGGAAGCACCTCGTTGAAGTTTATCAGCCGAAGGATTCGGTCACCTCCAGCAGGCTTCTCCAGCAACTCCTGGAGATAAAAATGGGGCACGGGGAGAAGGCAAATCCATATATTAACCACTGTCGCAACATCCGTGACCAGATCACGAAGCATGGGAGTACGATTTCAGAAGAGATCTTCGTCAATATAGTCCTTCAAGGACTCGGGCCTGAGTGGAAGCCCTGCAAGGCGTTACTCCGACAGCGAGGAACGATTTCAGAAGCCGCGCTATGCGCCGCACTCCTGTCCGAACAGCAAGACATGGACTCAAGCAGAATAAGCCCCGCGCCGCGCCGAGAGCGCCTCGCCTTCTACACGGACAATCGAGAAGAGCGACGACAACCAAGGCGCCATTACTGCAAAATATGCAAAGTTTTCGGACACTCAACGGATCTATGCAAATCCCGATCCAACTATCGCCACCCAACTTCCACTCATCACAACAACTGGGTCGGCCGACAAAATGCTCGTCATCCTCAATCTCATTAGCAAGCTCGTTCTCCTGCACAACACCAACAAAATCAAGGACCACAGTCAGGACCTCCCAGGAACGTCATCGCAAACATGACAACATGACGCCGACGCACCACTGAACCTGACGAAGAAAACGAGATCCAAGGAAGATTACTGGAACCAGAAGAGGGATGGAATAATCCCTTCACCGAGGATCACTACTACCGGCACGACGAAGACGACCAGGACTGGAATCTTCCAATCACACTGCGGGAAAGCCCGCCTCACGAAAATCAGTGCTACGTACCAGTGGGCTGGAAGGAAGACGAAGATCCTCACTTCCACAGGCGTTTCAAGACCACCCTGGTAACCCCACGGCTGGCGCTGCTGCTGCGCCATAACAACACCGACAACTACAACACCTGGTACCTTGACAGCTGCTGCGGTCAGCACATGGTGGGGTCCACGCGCTATGTCTCTAACCTCAGTCGCGCCCCTGCAACTTATGTCACCGTCGCC